GCTCAAAATCTGTCCTTTTTAGATCCAAACTGTAAATGGAGATGACTTCAAACCGTCTCCATATTCCCCTGTTGCTCTTCTGGCCAGATCCCTAGCCGACCTCTGTTCTGGTCTCCTCAAGCGGTTGTTGAGTTCCTCAGTAATATACTGTTTTCATGTAACCTCCTCTCCTCCTGAACTCGAGGTTTTTTTTGCTGGTGATGATCTTCATTGTTGCTTTTGTATCTGTCGGGTTTCCTTTCAAGACTTTCCCAATGGTTTTCCCTCACACGTTTCTCTTTCCTAGTCATCTCTTTTATCCTACCTTTAAGTTCTTCATTTTCTTTGATTAGATCTTTTTTCCTAGCATAAGACTTCTCGAACAACTTGTCATAACCATCAAGTCTGTCCTGCAGGGACTAAACCAACTTTACCAGAGAGTGGTTTTTCCCCTCGGCACGGAGAGATTCACCACGATCTTCAATTTGATGGTTCTGATTCTTTGAGGGTCTGAAACTAGCAGAGGACATATCTTCTCCTTCATGGGATCTAGAAGGGCTTCCTCTTGGCTGAAACAGCGCGTTGCTACTAGGTGGGATGGATGTAGGATCAGAGTCTCCTAAGGCGAAACTGCCTCTAGGTGATCCAATTGCGCTTCTGAGTTTAGATATTGTGGCTTCTTGTTGCAAAAGATGAAAATTTTCCCACAAATGGCGCCTAATGTAATAGAAAAAAAATCAAGAATATCTCCTACTAGAATTGAAATATTGATGTGTTTCTGAACTTGATCTCTCAGTCTTCCTTTTCCTGCAAAACGAACAAACTGCCCTAGATCGAAGTGCTTCGATCTAAGGCACTCTGATGCTTAAGTCAGTAAAGATAATGAAACAAATGGAAGAAGACCAAGAGATTTCAACATATCTTTCTTCTTGGCTCATTTTGCTTTTTATAGATGATCATCCCCTTAGGGTTTCTGTGATTTTTGATTTAAGGTGACACACTTTCCTTAGATTCAGTGATTCAGTTTGGGAGGTTGTTGATATTTCTCCAACAAATCCTCTCAATATCTACAATTCTGTTGATTCATTCATCCAATTGCCTTTATTATAGGCAAATCTTTATCTTTCCACCTATCATTTTGAACAGCTCAGACATATTGAATGCCGAGCAATTTTGATATTCGTCGAACAGTTTTAGGGACTTAGTTTGGCACAAACCATTCTCTTCGATCGCTTTCCCGTACACTTTAATAGGCTCAGCTTGGTACAAGCCGAGCTCTTTCCTTGCTTAGCTAAACAAATTGATGAGCTCAGTCATAAAGAGAACCGAACTTCTCCTTTGTTTTCCGAATCTCTCCTTTGCTCGGCTTAGCTAGAAGGCTTAATAAAGACTTCTTCATCACGTGCCTTGCCTCGTCAACATCATGTGAGCACATTTAATGCCATATCACATGTAATCATGAGGTTTAACCCCCTTCACATTTATAATTATTTATGGTTGAATTGATGCCGTGTAAGATAGGATTAATTTGAAGACAATATCAAGTAATCCAAAATGATAGTATATAGTCAAAAGTTCGATGTTTTCTGACATTACATTTACAAGATACGAGATGAAATCTTCTTTGATATATTTTTATTTTAATTTCTTCTATCATAATTTCAAATAAAAGGTTGTACTTATGGATCTATATGTGGTGGATGATACACAATCAATAAAACTAATGCAAAATGTATTGAGACATTTGTAGATGTCTCGCCGCCTCCACTATCTTCTAGCCTTACATAACAAGAGCTGGGCTGTTAAAGGAAACGAGTTAGTCGAGTTTGGATTATTTTTTAGCTCGTTTAAGTTTGTTCATTTTATTTATATAAGTCGAATATAAATAAAATTTTAGGTTTGTTTTAATATGAGCCAAGCTCGAACTCGAGCCCAAGTTATTTGGTTAGATCATATAAATTTAGTATTATTTATTTATTTTTGTACCAATTCAATTTATATGTCTCTTTAAGCTATATATAGTCCGACAACAACACACTGATAACCTGTTGACTCGCATGAGTTCAAGCCTAAATTCACATTCAAACTCACATTAACAATAAACGAATTCAGATGAACTGAGTTCAAACGTCTCGTTTTTTAAATGAGCGAAAATTTAAATAAAATTTTAATCTCAGCATCTGAGCCCAAGTCAAACTTGAGTAGACCTTAAAAATTATAAACTGAGGGTGCGTTTGGTAACATTTTCGTTTTTAAGTTTTGTTTTTTTGGTGATAACAATTAAAAATATAAAACATGTTTTGTAGTCATTTATATTTAAAAAATTGTAAAAACAAAAATAAAAAACTTGTTTGGTATTATACCAAAAATTCCCCACCCAAACCCCATGACCACCCAAAACCACCACCCAACCCCATCCACCAAAACCCACCCCCACAACCACCAAAACCCATCCCAAACTACCACCGAAACCCCACCATTGTGGCAGAGTCACCATAACTACCGAAATCCACTCCCACCACCAACGAAACTCACCCCCAATCCCAACCATCAAAACCACAACCCACCCCCACCACCACAACTACAACCTACCCCAACCCCCACCATCGAAATTCACAACCCACCCCCACCACCACAACCACAACCACAACCCACCCCCAACCCTCACCATTGAAACCCACAACCCACCCCCACCACCACTATCACCGAAATCCAACCCCAACTAGCAAAATCGACTACCCATCTCTGAAACCCACCACCACCCAACCCCACCACCACTCCCAAAACCCAACCCTTTAACTCCCCAGCAAAACCATCAGAGAAGGGAGAAAGAGAGAGAGAGAGAGAGAGAGAGGACAAAGAGACGACAGAGAGTGTGAAAGTGATGGGCCTTTTATACCCAAGCAAAAAAAAAGGATGTTTTTTGTTGCTATGGAGGATCGAAGCCAAGACCTCATTAATTCTTTGTGCGTATTTTGTTTTTTGGATGTTTTCATATTTTAGCCTTATTTTTAAAACAGAGATGTTAAAAAAAAAAAAAAACATTCGCCAAACGTATTTTTATTTTTTAACCATAAAATGAAAACAAAAACTGCCTGTTACCAAACGCCATCTGAGACTAAGCATATCAAAACTTATCCAAGTTTGGCTCGTTTAACTCCCCTAATAAAAGGCGCCACTCTACAATCTTCTTGCTAGCATTATCTCGCACACTTGAAAATACTAAGGGCATCTCTAATAATATTTTGTATTTTAAAAAATATTTTTTGTAAAATAAAAGGTATTTTAATGAAAATTCAAAATAGAGTGAAAAATTTTAGGTAATTCTAATGAGTTCTCTATTTTAATAGCAAAATAAACTTATTGTGACTCTCCAAATTTAGAGATCTAAAATAGACTCTTTATTTTAAATAGTCTAAATAGAAGGCCGATTGAAACTTAATTTTATGTGATTGGCTCTCTAAAAAAGAGAATTGAATAGCAATAAATAAAACTATTAGAGATTCTTTAACCCATCCGCAAAAAACATGGGTTATTGAAAAAAAAAACTTTAATCCAACTCTGATCCAATTATTTCAAATCTCAATAAAGTGAGAAAATGGAATTAATCTTCAAATAGAGCGACTAAATTGAGGTTCACCTCCCCTCCAATTTTTTAACAATTGGAGGATTGAAATTAGAGGGAAGCTAAATTGGCAAAGAAAATGGTGTTGAGTAGAAAAAATAAATTTAGGATAAATTTTAGGGAGAATCTCACTTTGCATTAAGGAGGATTTAAAATTTTTATTTTGTACCTTTAGAGATTAGATTTTTCATATTACACTTTCAGTATATTAAAAGTGTTGTAATATGGTCATTCTATTAATTTTTATTGTTTATTTCGTCAAAAATCAATCCCTAGACTTTTACATAATGAGTAACGAAATTAATCGAAAAGTTATGTTACGACACTTTTAATACATTGAAGATAAATGTGAAAAATCTAAATTTTTAGAATACAAAATAAAAATTATTAAATCTTTAACGATTTAAAATGAAATTTGCCCTAAAATTTATACAGAGAATTACACCCAGATCCCCTTAAGTTTGTCACTTAATCACTCAGACCCCTTGAAGTTTGTATACGTGTAACACTTAGATCCCTGTTGTAAATATATCTGTTAATAAATTATACTTAGACTCCCCTAAAGTTTGTGGGTATATAATACTTAGAACTTTTAAGTTTAAAATATTATACTTAGATCAAAAATACTCCAATCAAATATAAAATATAAAATATTTTTAATTTTACAACTAAAATTAATGTTATATTATATCATTTATTGAAATAAAATCAAAAATAAAAATTTAATTTTTTATTAAAAAATTATAATTGGTATACAATTATATTATCTATTAGAATTTAATTTAGTCGTTTAAACCACCAAATTAAACTACCAAACTATCCCAATTAAATCTAAAAGATATTATATCAATTACAATTTGATTCCTTGTTTAATTTTTTAATTTTATTCTAATAGATAGTATAAATATATACTAACTATGTTTTTTTATTTTTGATTTTATTTTAATAATTGACACAATAGAACATGAATTTTGGATGAAAAATTCATATTCTATTATGAATGACTTAGACCCATTATTTGATTTTGTAGTTTTATTCCAATAGATAATATAATTACTAATAACAATTTTTTTAAGAAAAAATTAAAATTTTATTTTTTGTATTTCAATAAATGATACAATAGAACATGAATTTTGGTCATAAAATTTAAAATATTTGATATTTGATATTTGATTGGAGTATTTTTTGTCTAAGTATAACATTTGAAACTTAAATGGTTTAAGTATTATATACTCATAAAATTTATAGGAGTTTAATTGTAATTTATTAACGAATATATTTATAATAAAGGTCTGAGTATTATGTGCATATAAATTTTAAAGGTCTGTATATAATATTTTTAACATCAAAAAATTTGAGTGATTAAGCTGGGTGTACCACCCAAAGTTATATTATTAATTCAAAATAAATAAAAAATTGATCAAGTTGAGACTAAGAGACGGCGGCCTCTAGGCGACACGAAGCGGCGGTCGATTGTCTTCTACGATTTCAGGCCACGAGCCGCCTCACCAGTGTCTACCACTACAATTTCACTGATGTGAAACCCTAACCCTACCGTGAAAAAAAATGATTGGTTACAATTAAATCCCTAATCCCTATAAGATCTTCGGTTGTTCACTCCGATTCGATTGTCTCAAAACTCAATCAAGTGAGAGAAAATGGAAGTGATCATCAAAGAAAGCCTCGTGACTCAATTGCAGGCCGTGAAGCGTAAGTCCGGCAAGACCTACGGTCAGTTAGCCGCCGAGACTGGTCTGACCAACGTCTATGTTGCGCAGCTCTTGAGACGCCAAGCTCAGTTGAAGCCCGAGACTGCTCCGAAACTACGGGCAGCGCTTCCCGAGCTGTCGGATGAATTCGTTGAAGAGATGATGAGGGCACCTTTGAGATCATACGACACCGAGTTGATCCAAGACCCCACTGTTTACCGGTGATTCTTTCCAATCTTTTTTTCTTTTCTTCATATCTTGAATTTTTTGATTAGACGTAGCTCAACTGTTTTTTATATTGAACAAGGGTGGTTAATTTGAGGGAAATGCAAGCGGTAGTGGAAATAATTGAACGAAATAGTTTTTAAACAAATGATTGTTCACGGTTTAATGGAAAATATGGATTTTATAGAGCGCAATGGAGAAAAAAGATTGGTGTGGCTGACCCAAACTCGTTGGTTTGGATTAGCTTGGATTTTTCGATTGCAATGCCAATTTTCATCGAAGTCAGATATGGTAAGGTCAAAATAATACCCATCGCAGTAGACATGCCTATTAATTGCCCAATATGCAGAAAAAGCAAGATTTCTTGAGGTCTCTCTTAACCTCAGGGTGTGGGCCAAGAATTTTCAAGTCCAAGTTCTAAGTCCCACATGGCTTAAAGAAGAGTGGGTGAGGTGTTTATAAGTGTGGTCCTGAGGGGTGAGTTGAGGTAAAAAAGATCCAAGAGGCCAAGACTGCTTTGGGGATGGATTAAGATGATTCAAGATTAAGGAGGAATCAAATCTATGTACCTAGTCCTACAACTTGGGTAAAGTGTGTGTGAAGTATTTCATAAGTGAGAGTTTTAGATTTTTATTGGGCAATGCAATTTAAACCTGTATGGGCTTGACCAAAAGCAGGTAATACCATACCATGCAGGTCTAGAACCTAAAGATTATACTCGCTATTACTCTAAAGTATACACTTCGTATGGTATGTTGTAGGAAGTGTATAAAAGTCAACTTTGTCCACAAGGTGCTCGGAATTATTGTTGTAGTAGTCATATCTTCTCTGTTAATTAAATCTTACATATGCTAGTTTTACGATTTGTGTACAGTGGCTGAAAAACAACTTGCTGCAGGAAGTGTGGCCTTTCATATTGTGGAGGATATGTTCTCATTGTGTAAGATAGTAGTGCCAGAAGGATGATATGTCTCCATTCTGTTTCTCAAGTATTCCCACACTGATTGTTTAGCGGAAATTCTTGTACATATACTACAGACTCATTATGGTTAGAGGATGTCCATGATTGTTTGTTTTTATCTCACATAAAACAAAATGACCCAATAATTCTTTCTGCCTTTTGCGACTGAAAATGCTAGTTGTTAAACAACATCAATACTTAGTAAGTGATGCCAACTAATTCTCCATCAAAATAATAGTTGTAACCTTCATCCTCATGTAGCTCATATCTAGACATTTTGGGTATGTTGAAGCAGCTAATTTTAACTGTCTGCCTTCTGATCATAAAATTTCTGGATGACAATTTGTTTTTCATTTTGCTGACTTACAATTTCATAGATTAAACGAAGCGGTTATGCACTTTGGAGAGAGCATCAAGGATATCATCAATGAAGAATTTGGTGATGGCATGTGAGTTATTTTTCCTATTTTAACTTCGGTTGTTGAACAATGTGACACTCTAGTTGTAACACGTGTCAAAGGAATAGATCTGAGAGGAGCTCATAGGAAGCTTTTTGTACAACTATTTCCCTTGCAAAAAAATATTGACCTTGGTTGCTAGATAAATCCAAGAACCTTATCCTATTTGCATAGATGAAAGTTTTTTGTTTTCTAGTGAAATAAAATGTGATAACTGACTTCTTGTGTTAGCTGGTGATTTGCAGCATGTCAGCTATAGACTTCTTCTGTTCTGTTGATAAAATTAAAGGTGTGGATGGGAAGGATCGTGTAGTTTTAACGTTTGATGGGAAGTATTTGCCCCATACTGAGCAGGTCTGTTGTCTCTTGCTTTGCATTCATAAAGAAAAGAGCCAGTAATTTCAATTCCTTGCTTTAATATTTTTGTCATAAATTAGCATGACCAAAGTTTGAACACTTAAATTAGCTGATGGCATTGGCAAGAGTGCTTGAAATTTTGTGTCTACATTACACCGAATCTAATTTTTGAAGTGAATGGACATGGAAGTGAATGGGAAAAAAGAGGGTCACACCTATAGATCCATGGATACTCTCCAGCAAATAATGGACGTAAAGGAAGAAAGTCTCCTGTCCTTTTTCTCACGTTTCAACATCAAACTGCAATGTTGCTTTGAAGAGTATTGTTGAGGTCATGCAACACTCTCTTTCCTTCATTTTTGCTCAATCTAAGAGTAGGAAGGACTGATTCTTGTGCTCCAATGTACAATTTTGTATCCCTACAACTTTCTGTTCTATTCCATTTTTCAACCCTTCTAACAAGTGAAGTGCAACTCACAAATTTGCAGTGTCATAGCCATTTTTTTAGGTCAGAATGGACTTTTGTACATGGAGAAACAAAGCTCATATTGCTTTAGTTGTCGAGCAATACAAGAGCAATAGTTTCTTAGCAAAGAAGCACAAACACTTCTAAGTAGTTGATGTGTCGTGTGTCGGACACTTTTTGAGCAGTGGCATTTCTCAGACACGTGTTTGATACTTTTCCGATCTAGAATAAAGGGTGGGCGGTGCACGAGATTTCCACTACTATGGGTCCGGATCAAATGTACATAATCTTACCTCTTCACGACTCCTTTTGCAGTGTGTCTGTCATTTCTTAGGACGTGTCAATTGCTAAATGAATAACATGTGGTCAACACTTGGACACTTGCAAAAAGATGATCATTAAAATTTGGGACTTAAAACATATTACTATCTTATACCATGTAAACATGTATGTAATTGTTTAAATTAGTCATATCAAAAATTTTCCTCAAATTCATTGTAAAATGCCAAAGGGGTGTAATATTTTCATGAAAGTTAATGCTTAAGGAGGATGAGAAAAATTGTGCTAGTATTTATGCTTGCTACAATTTTTTATATGTAGTAATATTTATATGTATGTAGACAAAATATATAATTTGATATGTAAGATACAACTATATGTAGCACGTGTTAGTCATGTCCATCTGTTATTTTTTTAAGGATTTGTCGTGTCAACGTGTTTGTGTGGTGTCATTTCCTGTTTGTGGTTTCACTTTCACCTATCAAATTCCCTTTCTCTTCCACCAGATTGTTGATGAAGTGGAAAAACTTCAGCTTTTGGAGGAGTAGCTGAAGTTTTCCCACCAGCCCATTGTAGTTGTTTGAGCTTACTCCCTACATTGATTGGAACCATGTTCCAATGCATGGCATGATACGGAAAGTCCAACCTATGCCATGAAAACCAGACGTCCTTTTTGGGGCCTCATACAGGGTACAAGATTGTCCCAGAACTAACAACACACAGGATAAACCCGCTTATTCAAAATAATCTCCTGAAAACCAACAGCCTCAAAAGTTTTTGGTCCAAATTTTAACCACCAAATAAGTGGCTACCTATTGATCCACCCTGCTAAATGTTCAGGGAGAAATGGAAAATTTTGATGTTGGTCAGTCCTCTGATTTCTGCAATTGTCATCTATTTACTGGAACTTATTTACTTTGTTTTGTGCACATGCCACTACTTTTGGACAACTTCACTCGTCAATTTATAACCAGATTTTGTAATTTGAATTTAAAGTATTCCTACAGCCATCCAACATAGTTTGCATAAACTGTTTCTTTCTTGTATTGTTATGAACAGAAAGCTGAGAATATGATGTCAAGATTGAGGTTGCAGGACAAGTAAGAATACATTGCTCTGTGGCAAATGCTTGGAATCTCGGTTCTTTCCGTGTTGTGTGATTGTAAGTCGTTAGACTTGCCCGTACTTTAATATAACTCCCTAGTCTGTACTGTATAATTAAGAATAATATCCACTTAAGTCCTTATGGGATCTGGGAAGGGTGGACCTGGTACAGACATGTGTTGTAAAATAATCGTTACAAAGCTTTGAGTTCCTGTATTGGTGTTTTGCCTTGAGCAAAATACCTGAATATTTGTCTAAGGAATCTGAGAACATTCCTCTTTTTCACACTACTGCAAGTTGGGCAGTATCCTTCGAGATGTCATTTGTATTTTTCAATGTTGAATTTCCTGTTTTGTAACGATTTTGTTGTTACCTGTCATTGGGTTGACGACTTGTCTACCATTGATTCGTTTGTGTAAAACTTTATTATATTTCCAAATAAAATTATCGTTTCTTATCGAACTACGACAATATCTGAATATAGGCCCTTTGGTGATAAATTAATTACTCGTATTGTGCTCTTGAGTTTGTCAATGTGCTGGGTTTGTTGTTGCTGGTTTTATATGGATGAATTAATTGTCAAAACTTAATTGTATTATTACATCATGCTGACAGTCAAGCTTAGCTAAGTGGCCGGACTTGGAGCAGTAACTAGTGTTCATTTGTATCAAGTGCTTATTGGTCTAAGCAATATGCCAAGTTTCAAGTCTAAAAATTAGTTTATTCAAGCTAGCGACAACAGTGTTTATCGGTTACCTCTCTCAAACACGCTATCGGGAGAAGTCTTAAGCATTGGGAATGAATTTTTTAGTAAAAAAAATTGACCGAAAAAGTGAATCAGTACGAGAAAGAAGCAATATTTTTTTTCCATAAGATAAAATTATTTTTTGTTTGTTGCATAAGAAAAAAGAAAAAGCCATACACTATATTAGAATAGTCATTGCTTCTTACTAAAGAATTACTCATGTTGTTCTTTATAATCTCTCCAAGACTTGATGAAGAATGAACACAATCTTTAGTAAGGAAGGCGGTTTTTATCAATAACAAAACAAAGAAATTGGTTCAGATATTGCAAGTATGTGAGTTAAGAGTCACAAGAGGCTCAATGCCTGCAAGTATCATATTTTTAAGCCATAGTCACAGCATGGCTGCCCTAAATCACTATCCAACAGTCAACCTATTCTGCATAGGATAGGACTGCTCAGAAAAAAGTCCTGAAGGAATTAACGAATTTGTAAACCAGCAAACTATGACAACAAAACCACCATCTCTTTTGGCGAGAAACCAGTGAAATTCAAATGCAGATGAAATTCTATTCTTCGGATGTCAATTTTCTTGGTTTCTCTAATGAATGTGACCTTTAGGTTCCTGTTCATGGTTATCTCTTCTCTATTGGGAACTGAACAAGGGGTTGCATTAATTAGACACTGGAAGATACATAGACTTAAATTCTTCTTGTTCTTGTGGTTGAAAGGCAAATACACCAAAAAAGGAAGAAGGTAAGGTTGCATATTTGACTTTTGAGTGAGGCAATGCTCTTTTATCACACGGGGTCATCATGGTACAAGGAACATGTATATCAGATGAAATTCTTGATAATGGCATGTCATATGCACTTAGCACTCTTTTTGTCAATGTGTCGAGTGAGCAAATTCTACCAAGAAACTAGAGAATACATCAATCAATCGAAATTTAAACATTGCTAATATAAGTCACTCAAGCCAACAATTTTATGCTGTTAAACTTAACATACATTTTAGGTAAAAGGTATTTTTATCTCTGTAGAAGATATGCACCATATCACAATACATTCTTATCGTGGTATGGTTTCAAACGAATTATTCTCTATATGAAAGGAACTACATCTACATTAAGCATAGTCATAAAATTGATCTTCCATAAATGTCTAGTTTCATCAATGGCTTTGATACATTCACACCAAATATAAAACTCCGAGATAGTTTTTTGTTGGGTTCATCAAAAGCCTTGAGAAGATTACTGTGAATTATACTGATTCCTATATCACTCACTGGCACAATGATTTACCTTGTAAGCTAAGGAGCAAAAGGAGGAATCCACTCGAGGAGGGGCTCATGTCTAATTAGCTAGTTGGTGTTTTACACCAACCAATTTTCGGAGACGAAGAATCTCAAATATGAAAGTGGAGAATTTGATCAATATTTTTATCTTGCTAGGTGCCATAATGCAGAGGATGATAAAGTAAGTCTGGTCCATCTGTTGCATAACTTGAATGTAATGGTGATTCAATATTCTTAATACTCTGTTTCATTAATCAGTATAATTGAATCCATTTTATCTATTTCAGATTAAGATCTGCTCTAGTACATTTTCTATTTCTCTCAATGGTAAACCACTCTCTTTGTATTGTTGGGAAGTCCACATCTTCATAGTAATTCTCAATTGAATTCATGATCAGATTCAGCTCCATGGGAGAGACAGAGATAGAGACACAGAGAGAGAGAGAGAGAGAGAGAGACCATCAATAGTAGTAGTAAGCTTTCCGGGAAAGGAGAAAAGGAGAGAAAGAGAAAAATCTTCTCTGTAGTGTTCAAAGAAACGCCACGAGGTATTCAAGACTCAAAATTGTAGGGAACTGCAAGTTCGGAAGTGGTCCATTAGGAACAGCAGGTGGTTAGTTCACCTAGCACAATCACAATCCTCATAATATCCATTGAACATATACAAGAATGTCTATATTTGAATGATGCAAAAAAGTTCTACAGAAGCATTGATATATGATGTAAAATCAGATCAATGAACCAAGAAATTGGTCATATCAAAACTGCATAAAATTGGCCATCCATAGAATGTCGGTTTTGCATTCACGATTCATCCCTACAAATTCAGGGTTCATTAGCCTCTTAGCACCACATATTCTCTCGCCTTTGCTTCCCAGTTGTTTGAGGCATTACTAGCAATCCAATCCAAGTTTTTGCAGTACCATTTGTTCTGAGTTGAAGCAAATTAAGTTGCAGGTCTAGACCAAATGAAGGTAAATGCTTTGTTCTTCTTTCCATTAGAACGACAAATTGACGAGTTTGTGTCAAGTGGAAGTTTTCTATCCCTTTTACAAAGCTGAAGTTTTGGTTTGGCAATGGCTTAAGCAGACACCGAGTAGAAATAATTTTGTAGAGATTATATAAAACTACTGACTTCTTCCCATTACATGCTGTTGCACATGTAGAAAATAAAAATGAAACCGGTTTTCTTCTCATTCACTCCTAATGTTTTCTTTAGTCCCCTGCCTAAACAACATCAGAATTCAAATAAGGAGAGATGAATGTTTCATAAAGCTTTTGTCCAGAACTAACAATTTTGTATCCGAAATGTGCAGAAAATTACCAGTCTTGTGATTTTGCTCACTCTTGTATGGATTGTCAAAGGCGAGCTTGGCTCACAATTTGACACAATCGTAGCCCAACATGGTCATGGGAACTTCAAGAGAATCACTGAAGCTGTCAAAGCCGCACCAAGCAACAGCAAACTCAAATACTACATACACATCAAAGCAGGCACTTATGTCGAAAAGGTGATAATTGGACGAGAAAAAAACCAATCTTGTTTTTATTGGGGAAGGCATGGACATGACTATTATCACTGGAAACAGGAGCAACAGAGCAGGCTATAGCACTTCTGCATCAGCAACAGTAGGTATGATTCACGAATAAGCAGAAAGGGTATATAAGTTTCCACCCCCCCTCCCCGTATGCTAGAACTTGCATCACATTGGGATGAAAGAAAACACTAGACATATTGTTATCTTGAGAGCACTATAAACAGTTTCTCTTACAGTAAATTGTGTAATTATCTTCATCTTGAGTACAACTTTTTATGCATAATCTGGACCAAATGTACGTATTGTTTAGGATTAGAGACAAACATGTATAATTTTGTCAAAGTTCCATTAAGAGAGAGGTTCACCACCATAACTAAATATATTTTTTTCTTCTAATCAGACATATTGGAGAAGGCTTTATAGCAAAGAACATTACATTCATAAACTCTGCTGGAGCGGGCAACGGACAAGCTGTGGCAGTGAAGAGTAGTTCCATGTTTTCTGCATTCTACCAATGTAGATTCAAAGGCTATCAAGACACGCTTTATGTCCACAGTGGCATCCAGTTCTACCGGGAATGTGAAATCTTTGGGACAGTTGATTTCATCTTCGGAGATGCAAGGGTGGTTTTCCAAAAGTGTGGCATGTATGTTCGTCTCCCCGGAAACACAAATGTGATTACCGCTCAAGGGAGGGGAACAAGTCTGGATTCTGGTGGCATATCCATCCACAACTGCACAATTGCAGCCACAAAGGAGTTCAACTCCCATTTGGGAATCAAGGCGTATCTTGGCCGACCATGGGGGCGATTTTCCAAAGTAGTTATAATGCAATCCTTCTTGGATGATATCATAGACCCGGAGGGATGGCTTCAATGGGGTAACGATACTTCTTCACTATATTATGGGGAATATAATAATACTGGCGTTGGAGCTAGCTTAGCGAAAAGAGTAAAGTGGAAAGGACGCAAACGCATGGACCTAGTCCAAGCCAAAAAATTCACAGTGAGGAATTTCATCTATGGTCAGAAGTGGCTGAATCCAACCAAAATCCCATATTCTCTAGATTTTATGTAGATATGTGGAGAAATAATACCCAGTATCAATCTCATATGATTTTCTTTGCCACCAATCTCCCTGTATGATGATAACTGAAAATTAACATAAAATTATTCTTGTCTCCATGTATTAATTTGCGCCAATGAAGACAACTGAAAGCTCCTAAATCAATCCAAATTGGATTTCTAATTGATACCATTGAGTTGAGTTTCCCCAATTCTACTCCCTTTAACTTAAAGAGGTCATCCTGGAATTTAGCTTGAAAAAAATGAAGTTGAGTTGGTGGTAATTGTACCATCTGTCCCAACATTACAACCAAAGCAACAGATTGAGATAGCCAGGATAATTTTATTACTCTAGGAAAGCCAATAAGAGCTACGTTTGTTTATTATGAAAAATCCAGTAATTCAACCATAGACCACCAGCTTGGTAATCAGCATGTAGACAAGTTCTGATGCTACTCTTGACAGCTTAAATAGAGCCTTGTTCTCATTTGTTAATGGTGATTTACGAGGTTCGGGTGGTCCTTGAAACCATCTTCACATTCTTCTGTATCGCTGCCAACATAAACACCATATGTACTTCCTTGTTCGTAATCGTTGGAATCCAAGCTTTTAAATGCACCTGGAATATCAGTAAACACGGCAGACTCATATTGGTCAATGCAATTAAGAAAATAAGTCTTCAATATAGGATCTGTCGTTTGATCGTTCAGATGGTGAATTTGTTGTAAGATAGTCCTGGCTTTAACCAAAGTCACCCGGAACATTATCCGGGCAAGTCCTTTGATATCTACTTTAGAACTTTGAGGATCCGACCGAAGAGATGCGACACACAGATCATGATTAGTTGTACGACTGCA